AACGTCTGCCGTTTTGTAAAGATTCCCGTTATTTGCATTCTCAGTATTTTGATTCCCTATTTTCAAGATTCAAGTTCTTTTCTTTGCGCCCGTATATTTAGAGTTTGCTTTTGGGGCTAGACTATCTTGTTGCCGGCCGGACAGTATTTTAAGGGGCCGCGCGACAACTAGGCTTTACCTCCGTGAAGTTGGCCCCACCCAATGCCGTACTAATTCTGCCGATAGTACCACGATTTAGTACGCAATTAGTATGTGCGAACCATACTAAAATTAGAATTAGTACGGAATATTTACCAACTTAACGGTCAATCTGAAGTTGGGTGGGGCCAGGTTCACGGAGGTTAGGATATTTGTCCCTGGCGCCTGCCGTGAGTTGGGTGGGCAAGCCCGCTCGGCACGGGTGTCGCCGTTTTGCCTACTCTTCCGACCGCAGGCGCCCCTGTCACGTGTGCTGCGAGCCTCGCCGTTATAATGTCTACTACCGATATGGTTTGACACTATTTTTTAGACAGTCCCTAAAATTGTCTCTACCAGAAGGAGGAACCCCCTCCCCCCCCCCCCCCCCCCTCGCTTCTCCTGTAGAACAGGGCAGCAGGGGATCCGCTGTGTGTCCTGTGCGTGTATGTGGAGACACTGGCGAGCGCCGCTTGCCTTGTGGGCGCGACGTGGCGCGCGCCGCTTCTCCCGGCTATAGCTCCGAAACCGTTCAAAATAAATGGTGGGTGTAAGCGATCCGATTGTAGTACAAGGTTCAAGCTTCCCAACGTTGTTAATATTTTTGCGATACGACCCACACAGCCCGAATGCCGACCAGTCAAAGATTATTTGAAATTCGTTTAAATCGAAAACACACACACACCTGCATTTTCTGTTTCCTTATTATAGAGTCTCTTGTCACATTGTTTTTCCTCCTGTTCCTTAGCCTTGTCCGCTCGCTGCGCTTGCCCCCCCCCTTTTCCCCTTTCGCCAGCCGCTCTAACACCACACGGATGTGAGCACTGCGCTCCTGAACTGCGGGCGGCGCTGTAGCTCGCTACTTGGGATGTACGAAAAACTGAGGGACTTTGTGGTCTGGTCACGGGGACTGTCTCCTTCTTAGCCCTGTGGGCTAATTTTTTTTTCTGTTTCAGACTTGTCGGACGCCCTCAAGGAGCATGTCGGGGAGGTGGTGGCGAATGTTGTAGGCCAATACATCGCCGCCCTCCCCAGACACAGTGTTGCGGCTCCGGCAAGCAGCAGCAGCAGCAGTGGCGTGGCTCCGGCAAGCAGCAGCAGTGGCGTGGCCCCGGCAAGCAGCAGCAGTGGCGTGGCTCCGGTGAGCAGCAGCAGTGGCGTGGCTCCGGCATGCAGCAGCAGTGGCGTATTTCCGGCAAGCAGCAGCAGCTAGGAGAGTGGGCCGAGCACCAGTTCGGGGGCTGCCTCCTCGATGGAATGCGTTTGGTTCCGTCCATCTGCTTTGTCGTCGTCCAACGCCTTGTTGAAGAGTCATGGGGAGATCGATCAACGTTCTCAGGACATATCGCGCTGCTGTTTGAGGCCCAATCCTAACTAGGAGCCGAAACAATGTCTGAGTATGTCTATATTATCGCCATCAAAAGCGCATCGGCAGCCATCCAGTACCGACAAACAAGTCGTCCAAATCGGACTGCTTTACGGTAATTCATTTCCACGCGGAAATCCAAGTGCGTCCAAGCGTGTATTAATTTACATTTGCACAATTCACGACCTAAGTTTCTCTGAAAACATTAACCTTGTAGTTGTTGATCCCGGTGCGCCGTCCAGTTCTACCGCGGGTGCTGGTGGGCTGCTGTCTCTGCTTCTGTCAGGGCGAGGACGTGGTAGGGCCTTGTCCTTCGAGCTGCCAAAGCGAAGGGGGCGGCCCCCAAAGGGCCTACGTCTTCTCAGAGAGCTCAGCCAGCTGATGCAAAGCTCTGGGAGAGCGCCAGTGCCAGCAGCTGAAGCTCCTTTTGCCCCGGCCTTGCCAGCACCTGCATTCCCGCTGGCTCCGCCGGCTGCTCCGCCAGGTCCACCTGCGTTCTTTTCGAACAACCAAAGTCAGGACAGTGGATCGTCCTGCCTTGTGTGTAGGGAGAGGGCAGATGGCCTGCTGTCGTGCAGGCTCTTCTGCTGTCGGGCCTGCTTTTTGACGTTGCCGGCCAACAGGTCCGTCTGCCCTTCGCCCTTCTGCATGGCACCCCTGACCGAGAATAGTTTTATCAGAGCACTACCGCACTTACTCCACAAACCTTCATTTGATTTTTGTGGTATCTCTCATAGTGATGCAGTGGTGCTGTCATTTTTAGTGGTGGCTTGTGCCACGATTTGATAGGTGACAGGCCTCACAGAGGACGTCTGATAGGTGCTTTGGTGCTCGTTGCAACTACCATGTGATTTGGCTTTCAAAACGCGAGTTTGTGGTTTGTGATGAAGCTTATTGTTTTGTCGAATGACCTCTTGTAATAATTAGGCATGTTTAAAGCCTTCAATCATTTTCAAGATGGTCTATTTATGAAAATGACCCTCTCAACTTTAATAGTTATGTCAGTTGTGTACGTGGCTAAAACCTTGTTAGGTTATTCCTTTTTATTATTATTGAGCCGCCATTTCATTTCCATTATATTCAGTGTGTTTGTCCGTAGATGTTTAGTCTACTGGATTAATGTTGGTTTGTTATGCTGCTTTGGGGCAGTCTTTATACAATCAACATAGCCGCCATTCCATTTCCCTGTGTGTATTTTATTCGTTCCTAAATCTTCAAGCATTGGTCTATGTGTTTTGGCTTTTAAAACGCGAGTTTATGGTTTGTGATGGAGCTTATTGTTTTGTTGACTGACCTCTTGTAATTATTACCTATGTTCAAGGCCTTCAATCATTTTCACGATGGTCTATTTGTTTTACAACTTAAATAGTTGTCGTGCTACTTGTGTGAGGTCAGTTAGTGCAAGTGGCTAAAACCTATGTGGATAATTCCTTTTCATTATGTTTTAGCCGTTTCCATTGTATTTGTTCAATGTGTCTGTCCGTAAATGTTAAAGCAAAAGTCTACTGGATTATTTGTATTTTATACTGCTTTAAGACGGCCCTTTTTAACAAACCGCACAACTCTCCTGAAAAGGACAGTGACTCCGAATATGACACCTCCAGTGGTCAGACAGTTATTGATTTCTGCGAAAATGAGGCATGCAACTCGACAAGAGTACTTCTATTGGACAGGGTAGCATCACTGGAAAAGGAGTAGTCGACAATAAAAACTCAAGATAATATAACCAACTCAAAAGAAATCCTCAATCAACTTGTGAAGATAACAGACAGTCTTAAAGAAGTCAGAACGGAAGTTGCTGAGCTCAAGAAAACTAACTCCATCATCATGGAATTCCATAAGAACCCACCCAATCCACAAGCCAATGAGGACAAACTACTAATCAAGAAAATGGATACAAAAAAAAAGAAGTTTCTCTTCTAACAAGGTAAAAATGTGTGAAGGAAATATCCTGAAATTACCGAAAACAGTTGCAATAGCTCACTGCGTAGCACAGGACCTAAAAATGTCCGATGGGCTAGCCCTTCATATCAAAAATAAATATAAAATAGATACCAATGAACTCCTGCAACTCAATAAAAAAAAGGAGATACTATTTATCAAAAAATTGGCGAGACAGAGCTTCTTCACATCATAACTAAAGAAGTCTCTCACATTCCACCCAAATGGAAGGATTACAAGAATGCCCTGAAAACTCTTCCCAAAATCTGCAAGGAAAATGGAATCAAAAAACTAATTGTACCAAAACTTGGCAGTGGGTTAGATAAAATACCCTGGGCTAGTACCATGAAAATACTCAAAAATATATGTAACGAGTCCGACCTTGAAATAATAGTTCTCTCGCTACCCAGAAAGGATGAAATTGCCTTTAAAGCCAATGTGAAAAACAGAAATCTAAAGAAGAAGTTAAACACAGCAGACACCACAATCAAATTGATTGGGGATAGTCATGTCAAGGGACTATCCGAACAAATACTGCCCTTGATTCCTCCCACAACTATTGTTGATTTCTCTGCCAGTGGAGGTGCTACTACAGAACAAGTCAACCAAGATCTGAATATTCATACTTCTGATCTTACAAATAATGATTACCTGGTATCTATCTCTGGAGCAAATGACATCCAGTTTACCAAAAATGGCAAATGCATTGGCATCAACATATATGAAGAGGACAAGAAGAATGTTCTCTCTCAATCAGGCCATACTAATGTTTTACTACTCAGCACCCTATATAGATATGATATACAGGAAGCAAACTACTACATTGACCTACTAAATGATGAAACAGAAAAAATAGTACAATCTATGAAAAATAATAACCACTTCCAAAATAGAATAAAATATCTAGAAATAAACAGCTTTCTTGACAGATCCTGCTATGGGCGCAGTGGCATACATCTGAATATAAAAGGTAAACAAATTCTTAGTAAGGTCATAATGCAAGAAATCAAAAATTTTCCAAAAGGAATTCAAGCACCCCAAGTCTGGGACCTGATTGATGCAAATGAAAATTTGACTACTGAACAAGAACAAGGAAAACCCGTAACTCAAGCTCTGGAAGATGTGGATATGGGATTCGGCCTTTTTGACTGAGACAGACAAGGATCCAGTTAAGATTCCAAGAATATTAGTAATCAACTTCAGATCAATAAGAAACAAAATCAATTTGTTCAGAGAAATCTGCGATAAAGAATCACCACAAATAATAGTAATCACTGAACATTGGCTGTCAGAAGCTGAAATCAATTTAATCAACTTTCCTAATTTTAAAAAAGCTGCTTTCCACTGTCGATCACTTCAAAGAGGCGGAGGTGTTCTGATTTTAATTGATGCAAATCAATCTAGCTTTCCTTATAATTTCTCATCGGTCAATGAAATAAATATCCTATCCTCTGATCTGATCTGTGAAGTGGCTGCCATCAAATTTAAGTTGAAAACTCAACAACTATTCCTGATTGCAATGTATAGATCACCATCAGCATCAACTATAGAAGATTGGGCTACATTCATCCAAAAAACCCAGGAAATTATACTATCAACTAATCCTCTATGCAATGAAATTCTACTTATGGGTGATTTTAACATCAACATCCTTGATTCTTCCAAAAGAACCAGTGAATTTCTAGACCTTTTGGAAGCTGCAAATCTATCTCCGATTTTTAATCAATCTACAAGAAGAAACCTTTTATCTGGTAATGACTCTTCACTAGATAACATCTATACAAATAGTGTGCGCTTAAGTGACTTTCAAGTAATCAGAAACTACAAATTATTAGATCATGACATTCTATCAACTAAAATCAATCTTGGCATCAACAAACCAATCATTAAATATAAAATCGGAAGAAAAATTAATGAAGAGACTATGCTACTGCTTGAAACTCAGCTCTCCACAGAAGACTGGACAAAAGTCCTCAACTCTGAGGATCCCAACCAAGCCTATAATGAATTTCTAGAAATTTTCTTGTTCTACTTCAATACTATCTGTCCAGTGTTAAAATCTAAAATTAGAACTGATAAGAAAAAAATTGTTAACTATTCAGTAGATATTAACTACTATCACAATATGATATGTTTTCTTGAATCAACTTTACCCTCGAGTAATAACAGAGACAATGTATTAAAATCCATTAAGTTGTACAGATCTAAATTGAAATTGGCATATGATATTGAGAGGAAAAGAGCTAATCAGCAGAAAATTTATAATTCCCAAAATATAAGCAAAACTACATGGGCCATTATTAATTCAAACAAATCAGAACAAGCGAGTTCTGAAAGCATCTCTCTTTTAGTGCAGGGGAAACCCTGCTCTAACAACAAAGAGGTTGCAGATTCTTTTAATAACTACTTTCTTAATATTCCTTCAATGATAGCTCAAAAACTAAACAGGCACCAATTTGATCTAAGCAATGTTCAAAAGGTCAATAACTCTATATACCTATATGATTGTACCCCTTTGGAAATAGAAAATGAATGTTCAAAATTCAGTAACAAAAAATCGTCTGGTATTGATGGAGTTTCAAACTTTGTAATTAAGAAAATGAAGAAAGTAATATCTAAACCATTAGCCCATATTATAAATCTCTCCATGAGAACAGGAATTTTTCCAAATCAATTAAAAAAGACTCTAGTTAAGCCGCTCTTCAAGAAAGGTGATAAGTCAAATACTGAAAACTATAGGCCTATTGCACTAACTTCTCCTTTTTCAAAAATATCCGAAAGGATATATGTTAAAAGAGTTACTGGCTTCCTTGAAAAAAACAAGGTAATAGATAAAAATCAATATGGTTATCAAAAAGGAAGGTCTTGCTCTGATGCTATTCTACATGTTAATGATTATATCCTGAATTGTAAAAAACAAAAACTTCTAGCAGTAGCACTTTTTCTAGATCTAAGCAAGGCCTTCGATTGTGTTGATCACAAAATACTCTTGTCCATATTGGATAGATATGGAATCAGAGGTATTCCTCTTAACCTTATTTCGTCTTATCTTTCGGAAAGAGAACAATTTGTTGGCATTACCTCTATAAATAATCAACTGATAGTCTCACAAAAAGGAATAGTTAAAGAAGGTGTCCCTCAGGGTTCAGTTTTTTGGGCCCTATCTATTTATTATCTATACAAACTGCATTCGTGCCATTATCAGGCTTATACTTTCTGAATTTGTTCTATACGTGGACGACACCACCATCATAATTCCTGGTAAAACTATTCAAGAAATCGAAGCTAAGGCTATTGCTGTTCTGACCAAAGTTGAAATTTTTTTCTCTTCCTTAGGCCTAGCTCTAAATTTATCAAAAACAATCTGCATGCTTTTTAATTCATCTCTCGATTCAGCAATTTCAATCAATATTAACAATGTCAAAATTGAACAAGTAAAATTAACGAAATTTCTAGGTATTAACATTTCCTCAGACCTTAAGTGGAATGAGCATATTTCGGAAATTTGTAAAAGTGTGAGAAGAGGCATTTTCCTTTTAAAACAATCCAATCAAAGCCTAAACAAAAAATCCAATGTACT